ATCAGAGCTGCTCCATCTGCATTCCCGGTGACAACCCCAGAGCTGGCAGGAGCACAGGTACAGTGACTAAAGCCCCCCGAGGGAGCTGTGAGGTCTCAGCTGGGGTTCCAGAGTGCCCCCAGTGGTGTCCCCGCTGCCACACGGGGTTTGTGACCCCGGACACGGCTCCCACTTGCTGAATTCTCCCGGAGCCAGCGAGTTGGCACAGCTCAATCCCATCACATCTGCTCCCTGACTGGGCTGGGCTGAGGGAAAACCACAGCCTGGAATCTCCCTGACATTTTAGCAGGGAGAAAAGAGCAGTGCAGGACATGAATCTGAAGGAGGAGACATCAGGGAGACGTGGAACAACAGCAAGGGAAATTATCTCTTTAAACCAGAAGTCAGTTTAATTCAATGTCACTCCTGAGCAGCACTAAAGCACCCCTTGGAGGGGGAAGGGTCACTCACTGAAGGGAATTCCTGCCCCCCTTCTGGAAAGCCTCGGGAGTTTTTGGGGAGGATAAGCCACAGAACGCGTTTCATTAGAAAAATGAGTCTGATCATTTAAAGGCACCAAGAAACAGAGCTGCTAAATGTGGATTCTTCCACCTGCCCCCTTCCTGTGCAGGGGAAACAACGCTGGGCTGGGCTGGGATCAGCTGCTGGGAGGCTGAGCCTTAACCTGCCCTCAGCCCCTGTCACACACTGTCACCACAGCTCATCTCCATCTCTCCCTTTTCCTAAACTCAAATCTGAGGAACTCCAACGCAACCAAAGGCTGAACTACTGGAAAGAAAATCAAATCCTCCTTGATGTGCTCACAGTTTGCCTCCCCCAGTCTTGGGTGCTCACAGGCAAAACCACGGGGCACAAAAAGGTGCAAAGAATTAAATTTTTGTGTGAGTTTTTTAATGAACAATTGAAAGCAAGCAGAGAACAGAAATTTAGAGACAGACAAGACTTCTTGGTGCTTTCAGAGCACAGAGAGGGCCTGGTCAGAGCCCTCCTCTGATGGGATTTGTGATCTGTGACTATTGACTGTTCCTTTTCCAGTCTCCAACGGCCCCATCTGCCGGCAGCAAACACGGGAGGGATCCCAGACAGAGCTGGGGGGAGAGCAGTGACACAGGAGACACCCTGCAAGTGGAGACAAACTCAAGCATTTCTCAGATGAATTTGACCCTTACAAGGTATCTAATTCCTACCTCAGACATCAGCCCAACATTCTTCTGTTGATGGGTTGTTTAATAAGCATTTATTGATTTGTTAAGTGTTCCTTGTTTTAATTGCAAGTTCCAAGACTCTTAAACAGCTTCCCTGCATCCCTTTGTGTTCGAGAGCTTGGCTGAGGAATATTCAGGATAAGCAGAGAGGGCTGAGCTACAGGAAAGGAGCTCTGGCCACCCCGATTTCTTCAGAGCCCTCAGCACTGTGACCACTGGAGGAGCTTGTCTCATCCCCCAAAATCCTTTGTGAGGCAGAGTCAGAACCCCACTGCAGGTTCTCACAGAGCAGTAACAAAAAGCTGTCTCCACGTTCTACTTCCAATACTTTGTGCAAAAGAAAAAGCCTCGTGTTAGTCCCTGCCCACTGCAGGGAGAGGAGGACACAGGGCAGGGAGGTTTGGGAAGCCACGGGACAATTGCACCAGCAATTCAACTTCTGTCACTGCTGCTGTTGCAACAACAGAACCCCAAACAGCACCACAGTCACTCTACACATGACCCAGCACAGCTGATGCCACAAAAAACCACTACAGCAAAATCTCTTGTGGAGCCAGAGAGTTGATCCATTATTCCTCATCTGGTACTTCTAGGGGCAAAAAATCCTGAGCCCTGCTCTCCTCCAGGGTCCAGCCCAGTCCAGATCCCAGCCCAGACTCTGTAATCCTGATCTTTGCAGCAAAGCCACAAAGCTGAGTTGCTGTTAAAGCTGTGCCTCTCCCTGGGTGGATCTGAAGCAATCACCAGCTTCCCCAGCACTGATAGCCTTTGAAATGACCCCCCAGTAACTGCACCTTGCCCTTTCCAAAAAAGGTCACCTCTCCATCCCTCAGTGGTTTCATGAGAAAACCCCTGCAGCTTTATCCAAGGAGGAGCTCATTAACTCACCCTGTTTTGCTGCAGCAAAAAGAGACTCTGGGTTCCTGGTGTGTCCCAGTGACCCCCTGGATGCACCAAAGGAGACCAACGTGCTCACCCAGTGGCTGCAGGGAGGAAACTTCTCCTGGAAACCACGGAGAGCACGGGGGAGGCCCAGCTGATGATCCATAAACACCTCCTGGGATGTGTGAGGGGCCCCACAGACCAGCCCCAGGTCACCCCAAAGGAATAACTCAGATCAGGCTTCTGGAAAAGTGTGCTGCTCTTTCCAGGGAAGAGACCTGGAAGATGATGATGATGAGTATCCAAGAAAGGGGTGGTGAAGCTCAGCAGCAGGACCCTGCTGAAAACAGGGAAGAAAACTCTGGACCACAAAGCCCAGAGATGGGCAGGGCCCACATCCTGCACAGCCTGAGCTTGGCACGTCCAGAGAAACTCATCACACCCAAAATGACAGAATTCCTTCCTAAACACAAATCATTCAGCACAACAAACACCAACAGAGACCAACCCTGGGCTTGACACTTTCTGCTCCCATTCTGGTCAAACTGGTTGGCTTTCCAGAAAGGGAATCCCATCCAAGGCACTGCAAACACCACAGATGGGGGTGTGCACAGGACTCCTGGAGCTGGCAGTGGGGAACTGCTGCTTCAGGCCCTCAAACTTCCCCAGGACTGAGACAGTGCATCGGGTTCAGAGAGTTTGTGCAAACCTGTGTTACCTGCAGAGCTTCAGAGGGAGTCTCTGTGAGGTTTTTACACCCACATGTCAGCAGTTTCTATTTGTGATGGACAGAAAGGGGTTCAGAAGTTCCAAGAACGACAAAGAAAATACACATTCTAAAAAACACATTTCTAAAAATCTTGAACTAATCAACAACCCCTGCAGTTGGGACAGTCAGTCCCACCACCTCTGCTCTTGGCCAGACAGATCTCACTCATACAGACACAGATTTGAGCAAGTACTAAAACCAGAGAATCACAGGATGGTTTGGGTTGGAAGGGACATTAAAGCCCACCCAGTGCCACCCCCTGCCATGGGCAGGGACACCTTCCACCAGCCCAAATTGCTCCAAGCCTCGTCCAACCTGGCCTTGGACACTTCCAGGGATCCAGGGGCAGCCACAGCTTCTCTGGGCAACCTGTGCCAGGGCCTCCTCACCCTCACAGGCAACAATTCCTTCCTAATACAGCCCATCTAACCCTGCCCTCTGGCAGTGGGAAGCCATTCCCTGTGTCCTGTCCCTCCATCCCTTGTCCAAGTCCCTCTCACACAGTCCATGTGTAACAGAGATGCACAACAGAGGCTGAGATGGGTTTACACATGGGACAGTTCATCAGTGGCTCTGGGATGGCCTCGATCACCCTGGGGACCCAGGGAAAAATCTTTAAGGTCCCTTCCAATCTAACCCCTTCTGTTTCAGCCACAAAAGTCCCTGAAGCTCCCAGGCACCTTGTTTCCACAGAGGAAAGAGTGAGTTTTTTGATCAGTAACCAACATTGTTTCAGGTGCTGGAGCTCACAGCACATCCCACCTCACCAAGGCCTCAGGAAGAAGCACTGAGACGTGTACTGGTGCTGGGGATGAGAGTTTTGACTCACAGGGGAAAATAAATGGGATCCAGAAATACTTGAGCAAACACAAAGCAATCACCCCACACTTACTTTTGCCACAAAGCCCCACAACCAGCACAACTGACAAACTCCCTCACACAGACTGGGAATTTTTGTCCTGTTGGGATTGAGGAGCCTCACAGAAGTGCTCTGGGCATCTCTGCCTTCTTCTAGGCCCTGCTCACATGACCCTGGGATTGTTACCCTCCCTCTAAACTCAGATTTTGTCCAAGTTCAGGTCACTGAGTGCTATTTGGGCTTGTTGCACTTCACTGACAGCACACTGACAGTGCTGTTACACCTTGAACGGGGCTTAAGGACACCTTGAGGTGCAGCAGAGCAGAACCTTTTAAAAGATGAAAAGCTCAGGCACGAGAGAAACTCATGAGAACAACGTGGAAGCAGCAGCAGCAACGGCTGCAGAATCTGCTCTTGCCAAGAAGGGCTCAGTGCAGGCACAGAGAGCACCACCCAAGAGAGCCTTGAAAACCCCCCAGGCAGTGACCAAACCGGGGCAGCCTCGGCCCTTCCGCGAGCGAGCCCAGAGAGGCCAAACAAGGTGTTTTAATGACCCTGAGCCCAGCTCTGAGCTTTACCTTCTGCAGGAAGAGGACGATCCTGACGAGCATCTTGGCGTGCAGCTCCTCCAGGGTGAACAGCGTGCGGGGCGTGCGGATGAACAGCTTGCTCTTGCCGTAGGCCACGTCGTGCTGGAAGCCGTGGCACTCGATGAGCTTCCGCACGGCCTCCTTGTCCGAGGGCAGGTCGTGGTTGGGCCACGTGAATTCCGAGATCATCTTGTACCTGGGGACACAAGGGACGAGGGACGGATGGAGAAGCGTCACTGAGGTCCTCAATGAGGCCTCAAAAGCCTTCAATGGCTTTTAGGACTGACTCAAATGGATTACAGAATCAGAGAATCAGAGAATCAGCTGGGTTGGAAGGGACCTCTGAGATCATCAAGTCCAACCCTTGATCCAACCCTGCTGTGGTTCCCAGCCCATGGCACTGATGCCACATCCAGTCTGTCCTTAAACACCTCCAGGGATGGAGAATCCACCCCTTCCCTGGGCAGCCCATTCCAATGGCTGAGCACCCTCTCTGCAAAGAAATTCTTTCTAATATCCAACCTAAACCTCCCCTGGCACAGCTGAAGACCCAGCCCTCTTGTCTTGCTGATGGTTGCCTGGGAAAAGAGACCAACCCCCACCTGGCTCCCCCCTCCTGTCAGGGAGTTGCAGAGAGTGAGGAGGTCTCCCCTGAGCCTCCTCTTCTCCAGGCTGAGCCCCCCCAGCTCCCTCAGCCTCTCCTCACAGCACTTGTGCTCCAGTCCCTTCCCCAGCCTCGTTGCTCTCCTCTGGACCTGCTCCAGGACCTCAATATCCTTCCTGAACTGAGGGGCCCAGAACTGGACACAGCACTCCAGGGGTGGCCTCACCAGCACTGAGTACAGGGGCAGAATCACTTCCCTGGTCCTGCTGCCACACTGTTCCTGAGCCAGACCACAATCCATTGGCCTTCTTGGCCACCTGGGCACACTCTGGCTCATGTTCAGCTTCTTGTCAATCCAAACTCCCAGGTCCCTCTCTGATAGAGAAGAGCCTCAAGATGCTCTCTGGGGGAATCACGATCCCCAAAATCCAAGAAAAACGAGTATAAGAGGTTTTGTGAGAAGCTGGAAAAGAATGCTGGGAGGAGCTCATCTCTTCAGCACTGAGCTGATGCAACAGGACAAACCTCAGCACTGGCCTCCTGCAGGTCTGGCAGTTCCATTATTCACACTCGGCATACAATTTTAATTTTGGGGGGTTTTGTGAGAAAGGAAAGCTTTGGTTTGCTCACACTCTGCATCAGAAGCCACCTGCAACCAGTGGCTTTGTCAGAAAACCCAGATTTAAAAATTCTGCACTTTGGGAGCCAAAGTTCTGACAGACTCTGTCTCTTCCCCCAGCAGCTGCCCCTCGACTGCCCCAGTCTGTGCAACCACCACCCCTGCCCTGGAGCTGTGGGTCAGCCATTCCTCCCATCCTCCCCCTCCAAGCCCCTTTTCCCACTACAGAAAATGCAGGTTGGAACCAGGAGAACTAAAAATCAAACACAAAGTATGAGGATCAGCCCCAGCCCTCTGTAAGATCTCCCAGCCCTGCAAAGTGCTGATTAGCTGAACAGGCCTTTGCAAAAAAAAGCAACAACAAATTTTCTGCACCAGATTTATGGGCATAATAAAAACTGTAATAGACACTTTCCCTGCAATAGGAGCCACGTTCATGTTCTAAATAAAACAAGCACGGAGTGATCACAGCCACTTCTCACTTAAAAGCCCCCAAGCCCAGCCAAGCATTAATTTCAATGTTTCAGACATTCAGAACTCTCAGCTGCACTTAAACAGCCACACAATCAGCCTTTTCCTGGGGGTGAGGGCACTGCAGGAGGTGCTGAACAGGCTGAAATAAGCCTGGAAGGAAACACATCTCAGTGTCACCTTCATTCATCAAATTAGCCTTTGGAATATCCTGTGGAACAGGGGTAAATGGAGGTGCACACTGAACAGGGAACACCATCAGGTTACAGGGAGCTCACTGATTAATAAGGAGCCCTATAAAACCCCTCTTCAGACTCACAGAAGAAGATTGTGCACGTGCACTTGGCTGGCAAAAGCATCAACACTGCACACGGGTTCCCCTCCCTGCTCCCATCAGGAAAATGTTCCTGCCAGAATTCAGTCACTGGGAAAATCTTTCACCTTGAGACAAATATGTTAGGGAAAAATTACAAATAAAGAGCCAAGCAGGGTGGGAGTGCAACCCCCAGGGCTGGGAAACAGGCTGGGAACCAGGGTATGGACCAGGCTGGGAACACAACTATGGACCAGGCCGTGGACCAGCCTATGGACCAGGCTCCGAGCCAGGCCTGTCCTGCCAAGGGGAGCAGGAGAAAGGGATGTCAGAGAGCTGAAAACCTGCCCCAAATGTTAAATCCTCTTCTTCCTTTCCAACAAACCCCCCATGGCACCCAAAGACACCCCGAGGCCATGGTCCCCCTCCCTGTGTCCCACGGGTGCTGGGACATCCCGGCACTCCGGCTGGTCCCGTCCCTCCCACGTGTCTCCCAACGCCAGGATTCCCTCCCCACAGCTCCAGCACGGCCTGGCTGCCACAGCCACTCACACTGCCAGCCTGGCTGCTAATTATAGTGAGGCAGAACCCAGAATAAACCTGCTCACTGCCACCACAGCCCTGCCCTGGCCTGCCTGCACGTCCCACAGCTTCCAAGGCACTCACACACTGAGCATCCATTTCCAACCACCTGCCTGAAACCCAATCAGCATTATTTTGGATAGTGAGTTATATATTAAACCAAGAGAACCCATTCCATCCATGGAAGGCAACACATGTGGCACCTGACTGGAAGATGCAGTGAAGGCACAACATCTCCTGATCCAGCTGAAAGTATCCAGATCTCACTTTCTACAAATTGGTGAGGGCAGCCTGGCTTGCACAAAGCCCAGAGAGTTTTTTTCATTTCAAGGGAAGTTAAAAAAGACATTTATTAATGGTCTTGACTGTGCTTCACTTCGTTCCTACTGGGAGAGGGGAGATACCAACTCCCTCACAGGATTTAGGGCCAAACAGCAACAAACTCTTCTACAGAAAGGAAAGTTATGTTTTATATACACATGTCCATACATATAGATAAAACCCAGGCATACATGCCCTCATATATGTATATGTTATCTCTTATCTCTATATAACCTGATCTAGACCTTCTGTGCCCTCTAAGAGGAATCAGCAACACAAAACCCAGGGATGTGTTCTGGGCTCAGAACACCTGAAAGCCTCAGGGGCCTGTCAGGGAGTTAAATGTCTGTTTTGGGGCCTGAACTTTGTGATATCTTTGGGAATGGAAGCAAACAGATGATGAAGTTACATCTCAAAATCACTCAGGACCTGTCTTAAGACTGGCCCCACATGCAGTGCAAGAGCCCAGGCTGAAGGGCCTGGAGTCTCCTCCACGTTCCCAGTCTCCCAATAACCCTGGTAAATGTAAATATAAAGGAACAGAAATCCCGTGTGATCCCTGCTCAAAACCAGCTCAGGAATGTGCAGCTGATCACATCCCTCAGCCCCTAAGAGGGAATGGCTCACCCAAAGACAAGGAACAAAGAATAATATCCAGGCCAGGAGGCCAGAGGAATATTTTCCCTCATGTTTTAATTCAGAGAAGTCAGTGCAGAGCAGGCTCAGAGCAACCCCACGACACACAAACACAGTGTCTGATCCCACCCTGGGTGTTTGGAGGTTTAATCCCACTCCAGGGCTGAGCAGAACACGTGTCCCAACAGCCCAAAAAAGCTGAAGCAGTTGCCATGTGCTGATTTGGTTTCCTGGCTGCAAACACTTCTGGGCTGCAGCTTACGGGGAGCTCATCAAACATTCATTAAAAACAAAGCAGCTGTTTACATTAATAGTGATTACACAGACCTTAGGAGGAAATTGTAATGAATGCCACATGTGAGGTGAAAGCACACTCTGAGCACTGCAGGATGTTCAGGGAAGCTGATCCCCAGCACTGCAGGCTGGGTTCAGGAAGCTGGACCAGGATCCATCCAGGCAAACCTTCACTCTGAACAGCAAAAGGTCTTTCACCAGCACTTTGTTTCTAACTCATGACTTCTCACCTGCTCAGATAGTTCAATTCTTTTTCTGCCCCCTGGCCCTTTCCTCCCCTGATTCAGTAACAGAACTGAACCTCCATTCCCTGTTCCACCTGAGGAGGATGAACTCGCAGGGCCAGTGTTAAATCACTGAAGCCTTAAGACAAATTTCAATCTAAACCATGTCATTTGCCACAGGTCTGGCGGGAATTAAGGGGGCAAAAAGTATCAAAAACATGTTTAATGGGGCCATGACACCATCCCTTTCTCAGATATCCAGTTTTGAAGTCCAGGGGTTTCCTCCCACACAACGCCACTGTGGACCTTCCCCAGACACACCACGTCTGTCTGTCCCTCTCTGCAACAATCAGTGCTCAGGGAGAAAACTCAGGTTAATTAGCTCAGGTTTTAGGGTTATGCTCTGGGGAAGAACCTCATTACACATTCCTGTTGTGGGGTAACACAGCAAATGGATTTTAGCAGACAAGGAGCTGGGTTTGAGCAGGACACACACCCTGACACAAAACCAGAGCAACGGGGACCCTGTGAGACCCAACAGCTGATTTACACCAAACACACCCACAGATCAGGAGTCCCAGAGGACTTAACTTCCCTCCAGGGGAGAGCCAAATCCTCCTCATTTACATAGATTTACACATTCAGGTTGTATGAAAATTCCTGCATGAGGGAGATGTGAACAGGGGCAGATGGTTTAATGCAAAGAAGTGCATCCAAACACATGAAATGTTTGGGGGGGGGGTTAAGGATAGGGAAGTGTCAGAAAGTGGTTTAATTGAAAATACCAGTTTGGGGAGTTGGGGATAAAGGTTTAACTCCTTTTTTTTCTGAATGGTAAACTCTAGGAAGGGAGTAGCCTTCAGCCTTTGCTCTACAAGACCAATGTTTTTCATGAACTATTTAAGTGGTTTACAAGTTGGGTATTTTGCTTTCTAAGGCTCCAGTGACAGGGAAGAGAATAAGGAGGGTTGTGAAGTGGAAGAGTATGGCATTGAGGAAGATGAAAGTGGGTGTGTTTTATGGGGATTTTTGGAGGGAAGGAGACGTGGATCAGGGTAAGACAACTTTGCAAAACGCGCGTTCAAATATTTCCTCGAAACGTTCCCAACATTTGAAGCAAACAAAACAACGAAGAAACAAACAAAACCTGAACATTTTTTACGTCTCACTCCGAGGGTGGAGATGCCCTGCAAGGAGCTGGTCCATCCCCTGCCAGCAGCTCTTTACCTGTGCAGGAACTTCTCGTAGGTCTGGCGGTAGGCGAAGCCGGCCCGGCGCACGCGCACGTTCTCCAGCAGCCCCAGGTACTCCACCTGGTGCCTGCAGCGCTCCTCATCGAACACCTGGGGGGACTTCTTGTCGTTGGGCTTGATGCAGCGCACGTAGTAGGGCTCCTGGGGGGACAGAGCACAGCAGGGTCACCCAGGAGAAGGGGCTGTGCACACCCAGCCGGGGCTGTGCACACACAGGGACCTGGGAGCACACCCCAGAACGCTGGGCAGGGTCTGGCTGCCCAGCAGGGATCAGAGGGTTAAAACAGAGGTGACAGTGACACATTCCTCCCCCTCACACCCTGCAGGGAGCTGTTACAGGACCCACATTCTCCAGCAGGCCCAGGTACTTCACCCGGTGCCCGCAATGCTCCTCGTCAGAGAGCTGGGGGGACCTGATGTGGGAGGGCTCCTGTGGGCTGATCCCAGCCAGGCTCACCCAGGAAAGGGCTCTGCACACACAGAAAGGTCTGTGCACACACAGCTGTTCCCTCAGTGAACATTCCCTCAGTATGAGGGAATTTCGTGTGTTCCCTCAACATGAAAATTCCCTCCCTGGCAGCTGCACAAGCTGTGGCTGCTCAGCAGGAGTCAGAGGGTTAAAACAGAGGTGACAGTAACACCTTCCTACCCTTCACACCCCACAACAACCCTTGTAGGACCCACCCCTGCTGTCTTAACAAGAATTACTTAACGCTCAAAGACCTCACTGGACATAAAGCATCATCATGTTGAGTGTCTGGGCTGCACAGAAAGCAAGTTCTGAATCCCAATTCTATGGGAAATCTGTAGGGGTATCAATTTCTGCTCCATTCCATCCTCTGCCTCTTCCCTCCTTCCTCCATCCACGATTTGGGAGTTGGGGATAAAGGCTAAAGTCCTTTTCTTCTGAATGGTAAACCCTAAGAAGGGAGTAGCCTTCAATCTCTGGTCTGCAAGACCAAAGATTTAACTTTGCAAGAGGAGAGAGAGGTTTCCAAAACGTGTGGTGTTTTTCTAAACAAAACCAAAAGCGAACTGAAACAACCCCCAGATTTTGTAATTGCTGACACTGACTGTGGCACATATCTACTGCCAAAAATTCAAAATCATCCTGCAGCTGCATAGGGGCAAAGAGAGCTAACACCTGGATGTGTGAAGCTGTTAAAGGTTGATGCTCTGCCCAGGAAACAACTTGTGAGAAAGAGATGTATTTATACGGAATAACGAACATGGAATTCACTGCCCTGTGGGACATGGCTTTCCCAGCATCCCCTCTAAAAGCAGCATGGATTGCTCCATCAGTTTTCCCAGTATATTCTGAACTGGAAGGGACCCACAAGGCTCTTCAAATCCAACTCTTGGGGGACTGGCTCTTGCAGGGACTGAACCCACAGCCCTGGCATTAGCAGGACCAGGCTCTGACCAACTGTTCCAACAGGCCTGAAGGATGGGAATGACTGAACTCCAACCTCCAGCTGCCTCCAGCCCACAGGACCTTCCCCAGGACAAACACAGCCCAGCAGCATGTGAATCCCTCTCTCTGCACCACCCTGGCTGTGCAGGGGCAGAGAAGGTGGAACGGGGACAGGTGGCTTTACTCCACCCCACACAGTCCAGGGGTCCTGCCCCTGCCTGGGCTGATCCTGGATGCTCTGGTGTGTCCCACAGGATCACACCTTTCACAGTGAGATCAGGCCTGTCAGAGTGTTTTGATGTTTCCTTTCATTTTTATTTGATTAAAGGCAGCTTTCAGTTAGGTCAGTGTGGTCTGTAACCAGCACCAGTGTGAGGGGTGGCTACAAGGCCTGTACACTTAGGCACTTCCATCCCACTGGGTTTTGGAGTTCACTCCTTTCTTTTTCTTGTCAGCCCTTGCTATCCCACTTCTGACTTTGGTGGGGTGTGGAAAAGCAACCAATCACCATGGAACCACAGAGCACCCTGAGCTGGAAGGGACCCACAAGGACCATCCAGTCCAGCCCCTGGCCCTGCACAGACACCCCAGTAATCCCACCCTGTCCCTCAGAGCGGTGTCCAAACCCTCCTGGAGCTCTGGCAGCCTTGGGGCCGTGCCCACTGCCCTGGGGAGCCTGGTCAGTGCCAACCACCCTCTGGGGGAAGAACCTTTCCCTGAGATCCATCCTGACCCTGCCCTGGCACAGCTCCATATAAGGCCCACCAGAGCTTTTCAAGGCAAAATTGTATTCTTCTAACATTGGTAGGTATTACTTTTTAAGTAGCCCTTGCAAAAGGAGTGGCACTTCCTGCAGGCTGGCAGAGCCCACTGCCCACCAAACCCCAGCACCAGCCAAGGAGAGAACTCAGAGGATCCCAGCGAGCTCAGGAGGTCCCAGGACGGGCAGACAGGACATGCCACAGATACACACGAACTGCAGCATTCCAAAAAGCAGTTTGCAGCAATCTGCCACCTTGATAAAGGGAGACACACAGCCTGGGTGACAGCTGAACATTAGATGTCCCCTTTGATCACCACAGCTGATAAACCAGGAATGACATTTCAGCAACTTTGCCCTGGACCAGATGAAGCTGGGGGGCTGTGGAACTGCTCTGAGGAACCAGAGGGATCTCAAAAGGGAACCCCAAGGGTTCTCCAGAGGAGTCTGTTGTGTTCCAGCACTCCTGGACGGCCTCAAGGCTCCACAATGGTAACAAAGAGGAGAAGTGGTCTGGGGGGTGGAAAGAGGGGTTAATTCAGTGAGAAAAAATGCAAAGTTCCACATTCAGCAGAAATAGTTGATTAATAAATAATGAAAAACTGAGGTGCTAGAAAGAGATGTAGGAGTTCAAGCTAACATGAGGCAAGTTCATGTTTTTCTAGGAAGGGGCACAAGAACAGGAAAACTGCAAGACAAAAAACCCAGTAGATTTCTAATTCTCTGAACACCTCACACAGGGCACTGCAGTTCAAGTGGGAACAGTGAGTCAGTGCAGGCAAGAACAAGAAAGATCAAAAAGTCCAGCAAATGTGACTCAGAGGAAATACAGGTTTAGTCTAGAAAGACCAAAGAGCCACAGAACCATCCTGGTGTAGATTCTATACATTTAAAGGGTAAATATGAGGAAATGTGAACATTCAGCTTTAGGACACAGAAGAACTGTGGCTTTAACCATGGTATAAAACATTAGGCACCAGGAAAACAAGGAGTGGGAGCAGAGCCTGAGGAAAGGAGGGATTCTCCATCACTAGGGAGAACAGCCTGAACAAGCATCTGAAAGGGAAGGTACAGGCAGAGGAGTCCCCAAACACAAGTGAACTGGGGGCACTCCCAGGTCCCCTTCAGCCCTTCTGTCTATGATTTCTCTATGATTTGAGGTCACCCACCTAATCTCAGGATAACAGGAAAGGCCTAGACTTGCTGTTTCCCTGCAGGAATACTGAAGAAACAGGACCATCCTTGACTCTCCTGGCTAATCCTGACACAACCCGGAGTTGGCAGCACTGTGGAGACACCCAAGGATCCTCCACTCACTGATGGGTGTGAGCAATGAACAGGCCAAGACTTGGAGGCCTTGGAAAAGCAGATCCTAAAGGCCACTGGGGAAGGTTTTGGGCTGGAATGTTCCCCTGCTTTCTCAAGGATGCCATCAGCAGCACCAGGCTGGGATTTCTGCTGGAGGGTTGTCCTTGGGATGGGAATATAAAGCAACGAGGAGAGTGAGGAAAATCTGAGCTAAGCACCCACAAAGAGCTGGCAGCATCCTGGAGCTGCCCACCCTCCAGGAAGCAGCTCAGGAGCAGGGAGAGGTATGAGGAATGTGGAATAAGCAGCAGGATGTGTGGGCAACATCCGTCCTTACGTCACCTCCCCTCTCGCGGTGACTCCATCGCTCCCACAAAGTGTGGCAGGCACAGCTCCCTCACAGCCTTGTTTGGCTCCTCTCCTTCCCAGGGGACTGAGGCAGAGCTGGATGGAGGGAAACAGTGCCCAGCTCCCAAAAACAGCTGAGCCCCTGCCAGGGCAGTGCCCTCCTCACCCGGCTCTTCCTCAGGGAGTGGAGGGCTCAGGAGAGGAACACCAGGGATGCAGCTTCCCCAGGACACTTCAAGGCCAGGCTGGCCAGGGCTGGGAGCAGCCTGGTCTGGGGGAGGGTGTCCCTGCCCAGGCAGGGGTGGAATGAGCTGGTTGGCACTGACCAGGCTCCCCAGGGCAGTGGGCACAGCCCCAAGGCAGCCAGAGCTCCAGGAGGGTTTGGACAACGCTCTGAGGGACAGGGTGGGGTTGTTGGGGTGTCTGTGCAGGGCCAGGGGTTGGACTGGATGGTCCTTGGGGGTCCCTTCTAACTCAGAATGTTGTGTGATTCTGAGATGAGCTTTAGGGTTCCTTCCAACCCAAACAATTCCATGACTCCATGACACCCCAGGCAGCTCTGCTCTGGGTGAGGTCTCCTACAAAGTCAGGAGCACTTCCTTCTGCCACAGTAATCCACAGAGTCATGGAATCATTCAGGTTGGAAAAGACCTTTAAGACCATCAGGTCCAGCCATCATCTCAGCACCACCACTGTTTTCACCATTAACCCACATCCACAGCTTTTCTGAACTTCCAGGGATGGGGACCCCACCAGTGCCCTGGGCAGCTGGGCCAGGGCTGGAAACCCTTTCAGTGAAAAACGTTTTCCTGACATCCAACCGTGATATCCAACCTTGATATCCAACCTAAACCTTCCCTGGCACAGCTTGAGGCCGTTTCCTCTTGTCCTGTCTCCTGTTACCCCCCTGGTTCCCCTCCAGTCAGGGAGCTGGAGGCAGCATCCCTCCCAACACATCCATCCCTGTTCTCTTTGTTCTCCCACTCTGCTGGGACCAGCTCCTGTGGGACTGGAAATGAGCTGTTCAGGGAAAATGCAGGACACACAGAGAGCTCTGAGTGACACCTGAACTTGGGAACCATGAAGGTGAATGGTCAGCACTTCAAAGAATCACAGAATCATGGAATATGTGGAGTTGGAAGGGATCCTCAGGGACCATCCAGTCCAACCCCTGGCCCTGCACAGACACCCCAGCAATCCCCCCTGTCCCTCAGAGTGTTGTCCCAACGCTCCTGGAGCTCTGGCAGCCTTGGGGCTGTGTCCAGTTCCACTTCTCCCTATCCCCTCCTGCTGATGTTCACCTTGGGCCACTTCTCCATCCCTTCATCACCAGCAGGGACAAACCTCTCTCAGTGTCAGGAGCAGGGTCACCAACACCAGGTGGTGCCAGGCCATGCCAGACCTGCCCTGTGCTGTATCTGATGGCAAGAGGAACATAAATCACTTTTTGAGGTTGATATCACAAATATTCCACATTCAAAAATGCAAAAAACCTCAAATCTGTGACTTCAGGTCCAGCACAAAGGGGACCAAATGTGTCTGCTTTTGCTATAAAAGGCTGAAACCCTTTGGAAAGCAGGATTGGGAAGTGCCTGCACAGACAGGAGATCATCTATCAGTGCAATTACAGTGCAATTAAAGCCTCTCAGCAACGACAGCTTCAAGGGTAAATTCTAAAGTAGATTATTCCAGGCTTCCAATCCCCCCAGCCCCAGCTCTTCAGGAGGGATAATTATGCAGCTCCCATTCTTCCTGTCAGAGAACTGCAGTTTCTAAAGGGAAGAACTGAAATGCAGAGACACAAAGACCCCGCTCTGAAAGCTCTATAGATGCCTAATTGCAACTCATTTTATTTTTCAATCAAACTGAGTGATTTTTAGATTTTTAGGTGTTCAAAAGAAAACAAACCAGTTTCAAGCCATTGCACACTGAACAAACTCCTCCTTGGGAGGCTGTTCAATGCTCTTAGATGAGAGAGGGGATGGGACACAGGACTGACAAATTTGTGCTGGATTTGTCCCATCAGTCACAGCTGGTGACATTATAACTTACTAGAGATGAAGCCTGTCAGCCTGGATAGGAGAGGGGAGGGATGGAAGGGAGAGTCAAACAAAAGGAGTTACAGAGGAGGGGGGGGGAAGAAAAGAACAAAGGAAGAGCTGCATGTCCAGAGAGCTCCCAGAGAAGCTCCTCATTCCCAGCTGGGGCAGCCACAGCACCTCCTGTGTCAGGATTTACAAAAAAGCCACCCCAAATAATCCATCTCAGGGAGAGCAAACCCTCCAGAGAACAGCACAGGCAGTCCAACACGTGCTTGAGAAAGGGAACGTGGCCACTCCTGGAGCCAGCTGGGCTTTCCATCCAAAACCCAACCAAAACAAGGGGGTTTTCTCTGCCTGTCAGAGGTTTGTGCCCAAAAGGCTCCTGGTGTAACCTGGAGGATTACAGCAGTACTGAGACACTGAGAACCCAGTACCTCCCAAAGACATTTTCCATGGAGCCACAGAAGCATTAGGCTGTAAAAGTCCTCTGAGAGCATCAAATCCAACTGTTCCTCAGCACTGCCAAGGCCACCACTGACCATGTCCCCAAGTGCCACATCCACAGGGCTTTTAAATCCCTCCAGGGATGGGGACTCCACCCCTGCCCTGGGCAGCCTGTTCCAATGGCTGACCACCTTTTCCATGAAGGAATTTTCCCAATATCCAACCTGACCCTCCCCTGGCACAGCTGGAGGCTGTTCCCTCTCCTCCTGTCCCTTTGTTCCTGGGAGCAAAGCCCGAACCCCCGGCTCCCCCTCCTGTCAGGGGTTGCACGAGCCAGAGAAGGTCCCCCTGAGCCTCTCTTTTCTCCAGGCTGAGCCCCCAGCTGCTCCTGCTGCTCCAGCCCCTTCCCAGCTCCGTTCCCTTCCCTGCACACGCTCCAGCCCCTCAACGTCTGGAGAGCCCCAAAACTGAGCCCTGGGTTTGAGGGGTGGTCTGGCCTTTCCAGCCACATTTCCTGGGTTTCCAGACATCTACAAACACGTATTTGCACCCACTGAAATCAAAGCCACTTTTGAGAACACTCTTCACAGCACTGCCCTGCTCCTGACCCCAGTGGAAGCATCTGACACCCCAACAACCACAGCACCTGCCCCTTCCCCTCACAGAACTCTGTGTCATCACCAAATTCCACATCTAAACCAGAGTAGCAACTGAACAGAATTTTAAAGGTTGTTATTTTAAGTACCAGAGAAGTTAAATAACAACTAGTGCTGCAGGTACTGTGCACTGTGGTCCCACACTTTGAGATTCTGATATTCTGGTGGTGCTGAGTTTGAACTTGATGATCTTAAAGGTCTTTTCCAACCTTAACAATTCTATGGTTCTATGATTATTGTTATTCCTGCCCACCAAGTTAGCACTTTCAGAGACTATTCCCCCAAAAGTTTAAAGATACTGTTGGTGCAGCCAAAAAATCCTTCAGCTTTTCAGGAAAGGCCAAATGAGGGTCAGTGAAGAGGAGCTCCTGGGCTGCCATCCTGTTTGGGGACTGTAGAAAACTGAGCATTAAAATGTGGTTTAAAGAGTTTTCAGAGAGGCATGAACAGCCCAGGTGGAATGGGAGGGCAGGATGAGGCAGCAGCTCTGACTGCACCGGGCACACTCAGATAATGTGAATAAATCATCAGCTCCAACTGCTGCAAAACTCAAGCCTTTCTTCTTGGTTTTCTTGGAGAAACAGCTGAGCAAAACATGAACTGATTTTACCTCTCCCTATGGAACCTTATTCCTCTGCCACCCCTAAACCACAGCAGCTCACACAGCTTGTGCAAGCCTGTTTTCAGAGCTGTTTCCATCAGCTGTGACCACAGGCTTCCCAAAAAAATCCTGCGGGGTCTGAACCACAGTCAGACACACAGATGCTGTCACTGTTGATCCCCACAGAGTGCAACTCCAGCCCCGAGTTCAGCATGGAAAAAAATGAGTCCCAGGGCCCCAGGGAAGGATCAGAGCACCTGAACTGCAGTGGTGGTGTCCCCAGAGCAGAGGGGCTTCAGCAGCCCCAGCACAGGGAAGGGCAGAGACAAGGATCCAAAGTGGCAAGGACCCAGGGGCAGAGCACCCAGGGATTTGTGCACAGCCAGCATCTCGAAACCAAGGCCTGAACACCCAGTTATTGGCTTGCTGATGACATGCACACATCATGAACTGCCCCCAAAGTCACCTCAGAGAGCCCCTGGGGCAGGGCAGCCACCCAGGAGCACTCACTCACTCCCCTCTGCTCTCTGAGTCACTGCAGCACACAAGGGTTGTGTTCAGCAGCCTGACCTACCAACCTCCCCAAAATTAAAGTAGCACAAGCCTGGCTGCAGGAGGGGTCTCACCAATATTTCCTACAGCTCCTGACAGGAGGGGGGAGCTGGGGGGGTCGGGCTCTGCTCCCAGGGAACAAGGGACAGGAGGAGAGGGAATGGCCTCAAGTTGTGCCAGGGGAGGTTTCAGTCGGATATTGGGAAAATCTCCTCATGGAAAGGGTTGTCCATCCCTGGCACAGCTGCCCAGGGCATTGGTGGACTCCACATCCCTGGAAGTGTTCAAAAAACCCATGGATGTGGCACTTGAGGACATGGTTTAGGGGTGAACACAGTGGTGGTGCTGGTTGAGGGTTGGACTTGATGATCTCAAAGCCCCTTTCCAACCTTAACAATTCTGTAATCCTGTGAAATGTTTGGGGTTTTTCAAGGTGTAGAACAGCCAGGATCTCCATGGAAAATGGCTAAAGCTCATCCAGGTTCCTTCACTTTGCACATGAAGTACCTGCACAGGCTGCTGTGCAGGAGCATCACCAGGAGAACTTTCCAAGTGCAAGGTTTAGGGAAGGTAAAGAATGGGAAAGGACCACACTGAGACACACACAGGAACCTCCTTGGGAACCTGGCTTGGAAACAGCTCCTGGTTATGCCTTGAAAAGGTTGGCATTTGAGAGACACTGATGATAAATGGCCTGAGAGGGACTCACTCCACACAGCCCAGCCAGTTCCAGGGAGGAATGCTGTACCCACTGACTCAGGATGGAGAAGGGGCCACAAAGCCCTCGTGCCCTGCTGGGAGCTGCAGGGATTGTTCAAACCACCAAGGGCCATTCTCTTGACTATTCTATTTTTACAACTTCCAGGTGGCCTGGAATAATTATTCCAATAAACAAGGAAATGAAGCTTCTCCATGGACACCTGCAGAGCCTCCCTGCTGTCCCCCCTGCTCACAGCCCTCCCCAACAACACCCCAGGGTTTCTGTGTGCACTGAACCCCCCCAGGAGGTGATCTCTGCTCACAACAGGGATCCCCCCCTCAAACAGCCCCTTCCCACATCATTCCCTCACCCACCTTCCTCCACACAACATGGTGCTTTGCCCAAGCCATGCCTTCCACTACAGAACTGAATTATTCAGTGAAATAAAAGGTTTCCCTCCTCATCCTCTGCCACAGCAAAGAGGAGGGAAGAAGGAACTCACACAGGCCTGGCTCTATTTTCATGGAAACCCATTGGACTTGGAAGCCAGAGAGAATCTCTGCACCATGAACAACCTCCTCTGGGCCCTCTGCCAAGAGCTTTGCTAAAGATAATTGTTCATTTGGTATAATAACTATCACCTAAGACAGACTGGCTTTCCTACAAGTGAAAGCTCCCCTGATCCCAGAGGAACCAGAATTCCAGGTGACCCTCCCATGAGACCTTCCCAGCTGCCCACTGGCACATCCAAAGCTCCTCTGCCTTTGCTCAGCTCACTCCCTGAGGGATGGCAGGGATGGGAAGGGGGGAGTGTCTCCAGGGAGAAGCTACACCCAGCTCCTGAGAGGCTGGAGTCAGTCTGGAAGCAGGAATCTTTACCTTCAGTGCCAGGTTGTCCACCAGTGCAATCATGGAGTTCTTGAACAGAGTAGCAGCTGTCAGAGGTCTCTTGGTGACCTCAGTGATGCTCAGCTTCCCTTCAGGCCACATCATCTTCAGCACAGGGTTGGAGCTACGAGAGAGTCTCTTTAATTCCCACTCTAACAGCACTTCCACTCCATTCAAAATTCAGGAGCTCGTTCCTGCCCAGCTCCACTGCTGCTTTCAGCTCACAAAGCATCAGAGTGACATTCCTGGGCACAACATCTCCTGCTTCTAAGAGCAAGTTCAAGCTTATAACTGAATATTCTGGAAAAACAAGCAGCACATTCGTCTCTTCAGATCAGGATGTGCAGGGCTGGGACAGTGACAATCCCTCTGGGGTGATCCATCAAAGGCAGGGTCTGATTTACAGACACAACATATAAAGAATTTAATCAAAACAGAAGAGAGTAAGACCCGCAACATCCTCCCTGGGAACCTGTGACCTGATTTCAAGCTGTATTTCTGCACCACTCTGGATACATAAAGCAATTTATACACTTTAGCCTATATTTTTGAAGGGCTGAGGGTGAGGTAAAGTGGCCCTGATGGATGGTGAGAGCTGGGGAACAGACAGGAACAGAGCACAGCTCCAGCAATGCAATGGCCAATCTGTCACAGCTTTAATGTGCTGTTTGGGAACAGGCTTTTCCAGAGACCTCACAGAAAACAGGCTAAATATAACAAAAACCTCCGTACAGCAAATATTTTGCAAGGTTTTTGGTCGATGGGAAGTCTTGAAAACAGGAACAGTGGGGTTGTTCAGGGGAGCACAGCGAGCCAACACCACAGGACAGGGAACCAAGTTACCACTGCCCAGGTAAAACAGGGTTCTGTGCCACTGCCACCTCTGAAGGCTGCAGAGGGGCCACAGTTACCAAAGCCAGACCAGGTTTAATGCCAGCTGTGAAGGAAAGCAGCTCTCTGGGCACTCACACACATATTCTGATGGGTTTCCAATTTGCTTCTCAAAGGCAGCTTTGCCTTGCCCAACTCCTGACTTCATGGTTTACATTCTCATGTCACTGCACACACAAAAGGATTCAAATTTATTTGCCCACTTTACCCTGTCATTTCTTTCCAAACAGGGTGTTTTAGCTGAGGCCAAGGATACCTGTTGTTGACCAAAGCTGCTCAGTATCTCTAGCACTGATTAAGGCCAGGGCAGTGATGGTATATCTGCAACAACCTGGTTAATGACAAATCAGGCAGCACAAGGAATCTCTGCACTATCTTGGTTGCACAATCAGTTGGTTTCAAACCAACACTTTACATTTAGTTCAATTAAAGGCTGTATCAGAACAAAACCAACATGTACAGGGATTTTAACCTGAAAAATCAAAGTAAGAGCCCTCAGGTCATGGTGGACAAACAATGATCAGATCCCCAAGCAATGTGTTTATTCACACAGAGACAGAACCAGTGGAAAGCTCAGTCTCTGCTCCCATCCATTCCACAAAACAGGATTCTGACAAATCAGCTTAAAATTCCCCTCATTAATGCTCCTACCTGTTGTACATGAGGCGCTTGAAGTCTTGAAATAAAGTGTCCTTGTTTTTGTCAATAAATCCAGTGACTGAGTAGCTAAAAAAAAAAAAGGAAAACAGAGTTAATTGCAAAGCAGCAAAGTCCTTCTGTGAACTGTGGTTTCCAGGTGGAATCAGCATCCCTGGACTCCTACAGGCACTGCAGATCCCTGGCTCAGAAAGGTGTTTGAGCTGTCAGGGAAAGGCTGAGACACCTCCCAGGGCTTGGGCAGGTCGTAGGTGGCCCAAATTCAAGAGTTACACTCAGGATTTCTGCCTCCAAACTGAGTGTTTGAGCTAAATCCTAGGGAAATGAAGGTTTGGTTCCAGTATGTCCAGTCTGCCCCTCGCTTGGTGTCAGGGAAGATTCTCTGGTAGGAGAGGGCCCGAAATCAGGAGCAGCCTATAACCAGTGCCTGGGGAACCCTCCTGGAAATCAAGACACACACACACACACATTTTGGACTCCTTCCTACTTTTATTCCCACAGAAACATCACTGGATGTTTCTGGAACATCACTGCTTCAGGATTTTATCTCTTCTCCAAGACTCAAGTGCTCTGTGCTCAGGGAAGAGATCCAAAGTCTCCCCACTCAGTTCCTTCCCAAACTCCAGATCCCACCTGGGAATCTGTACCCAAACTGCAGCCCCACAGCATGTAAATCCCTGCATGGAGTCACCCTCAAACCATAAAATCATGGAATGGTTTGGGTTGGAAGGGATCTTAAAGCTCATCTCATCCCACCCCTGCCACGGGCAGGGACACCTTCCACCAGCCCAGGTTGCTCCAAGCCCCGTCCAACCTGGCCTTGGACACTTCCAGGGATGGGGCAGCCACAGCTGCTCTGGGCAACCTGTGCCAGGGCCTCCCCACCCTCAAATCTCCAATATGAACACACTGGTTACCCTTCTAAATTGAAGGTAAATTTAATCCCAAGGTAAAAGAAATCCTGAATTATTTCCTCAGATTCTGCTGTCACAGGAAATTACACAAATCCCACAGCATTAAACAACTCCAGTGATATTCCAGACAACAGCTTTCCCAGGGAACATGTGCACCTTTCACTTGCACTTACTCCTCCTTCCCACTGCTCCCACCTCCTGCACACACCCCTGACTCGCCAACCCTCCTGCAGGTTAAACCCTCCCGTGCTCTGGGCTCAAACTGATTGAGAATGTAAAGCCAGAGTTACATAATCGCTCTAAACAGATGTCTAAACCAGATTTTATTAGCTCAGTGTAGCTTCCTTGCATAAACACTGCTGCCTTTTTTCCCCTCCTTTTTTCCCTGGAGCACAGCTCTCCCCTCACCCCCTCCCCTCACCCTCCTTTTGTCTGGTTCCAAGCACAAACCCCCCCTCTGGAAAGCAGGAGATTTAATTGATAAGCAAGTGCTGCACACTGTAATTGTGGGTGACAGAGTTCTGGCTCGCACCAGCAGCAGCAGTAAATCAGAATATTGTACCACTCCAGAGCTGGGGGAAGGACAAAAATAGAAGGTGCCACTTTTCATTTGTGACAGGGACTCACATCACATCCCCAGCGTAGTGTTTGATCCGGAAGTCTCTGTCGAACTCCAGCGTTTTGTCCGTGGCACAAAGCTGAAATAAATCCACAGACATTAAAATATCACCCCTGGACTGACAGGAAAGCTTCAGCCCTGGATTTACAGCCCTCACGGAACTCTAATTATTCCACTTCATATGTGTAGGTGCAGATGTGAAATCCAGTTAAATATTGATGTGTTTTTTCATACCGCAAGAACATAAATTTGTACAAAGCTGCAAGAGCCTGTGGTTTTATTAAAGAAATTGATATTTTCTCAGAAACACCATTATGCAGAAAGAACACTTGTGCCTGTAGAGAAACATTGCACCCACGAGTTCATTTGTGACTCTTTTTTAAGTCTTCCTTTATATTTCTCCCATTGCTGTGTCACTGCTCAGCAAAGAAATGAGCCAATTAAAATGTGACAGCTACAACAGCAGGGCTTGTTCTGTCCCAGAGCACTCCTGGTCATCTGACACCCCTCAAACAGGGACCCCCCTGCAGATCCACCACTCCAGCTCAAATTCCCATCCCATCCCTTCTGGAAGGGATGTCCAGTGGCAGCTGCTCAGCAGCAGTGGCTGTAATAAACTCATCCCTTCAGGAATAGCAGAAGCCAAAAAAATCCATCAAGTTCAGCTTAATTAAAAAAAGGAGAATGAGATAAAAAATGAGCATTTTTGTTACAGGCAAAAGGGGCAGGAGATGACTTCAGTCTTTGCAGGCAGCACAGGCACCATTTAACAACACTGAGGGCTGGGAGCAATATCTGCAATGCCCCAAAGTCTTGGGGAAATAAAGGAGGAATTCAGCATGGTTGAAGTGCAGGGCAGGAGAGGTGACTGGGAGCAGGATGATACCCTCCAAAAATTCACCCGTGTCCAAGAGGAGAAAACAGATTGGCTCAAACTGACAGAATGGATGAAAGAACAACACAGAATATATTTTACACAAAATCAACCCCAAGGAGGAACCCAAGCAGTGTGGGTTCCAAGGTGCCCAGGAGGCTCCAGAGGCGTGGGAAGGCCAGCCCAGCAGGAGCAGGGAGAGCAGCAGGAGCTGCAGGGCTGATGGATGACCAAGGTGCAGCAGAACAGAGAGAAAATGAAGAAACGAGGCAATACCAGGAAAACAAAGTCATTTTTCTGCCTGCAGCTGCATTCCCAGCACGGGGCTGGGGGGGTGGAAAGCCTTTTTCTGCCACCCAAACACACAGCTCAAAGCAACAAGTCAATAAAAGAGGTATAAAGCCAATGCCAAAGGAAACGTGCCTGTGCTACCAGACAGGACACAGTCGGCAGCACGAGCTCCTCCTAAAACTCATCCAGCTCTGGAGAGACTGGGAGGAGCCATAACATGGATCAGTGAGTTTGTTGTTTGTTGTTCTGGTTTTCGTTTTTCTAAAAAGTGATTCTGTCCAAACTTTCTGTCTACTGAGCAAATCTGCTGAAATTAGCATAAAAAATGAAGACCAGCAAGTCTCTGAACACCAGGGATCACCTGCTTGGCTTTCTGTGAGCCTTTCCAGGAGGCTCCTCTCTGACAGCTCACGGAATTTAAGGGCTCTGAAAGAAAAGAAGAAGGGTCCCCACACATAACTGTTAAGAAAGGAATGCCCAGAGACAATGGCAAATCACATGGAGATGATGTGAACCATGGTTTGCCATTTAAAAACTAGGAGGTGAGAGATGGAACCTGAAAGGGAAAAGGGAGGAGAGAGGAAAACAGGAAGGAAGGAGCACTCCACATGTGTATCTAAGCTGTGGAGTTCTTTGACAATTAAAAAAAACCAAAAAAAACCTGATCTATTAAGGATAGCAGCAGTGATTCAGGAGCTTCCTGGGCTGCAGATCACTGGGGAGTGGGAGTGTGTCTATCATGTTATCATTACACATCTGTCCCATGTCATCTCTCTCCTACTTCCAAGACCCTCCTGCCCACTGACTTGGAAGACACAACATCAGCTGGACCAGCATGGACTGACACTCTGACTGGGACTCTTCCCTTCACAACCAGCTGGTTGAGATTGATGTTCTCCACACTTTGAAGATTTGGGCATTCATGGACACTCACTGCACCTGATCCTTCCAAAGTAAACACCAACAGAAAAGAGTCAGAACTGGAAGAGGCCAGGAAAGCAAACAGTGATGTTGGGAAGGGCCATCAGAGCAGGCTGCACATCCAGAGTCAGACAGCTCTGAGAATGACAACCCCTGCTCCAGGAACACATTTTGCCCCAAATGCCCTCAGTGGAAGTGTTCCCCAGCATTTCCTGGGTTTGTTTGGCCTTCACCAGGACAACCAAGGAGGGAGCTGGGATCAGCCAGGCGGGGCTCAAACTAGGACAGGGACTATTTAGGGCACAGCAGCCCCCCAGAGCTCATCCACAGGGAGCCAGGGGGGCAGTGGGGCATGAACTGGGGCTGAGGGTGGGAGCTGCTCCCAACACATCAGCACAGGATGTGTTTAGGAACAGCCTCCACCCATAGGGAACTTCCCGGTGTCTGGATGGACCCACTGCCCCTGCCAAGGCAAATCCTGACACGAAATCCAGCCCTTTGTTGTAATCCACGCTGGGAGAGGCAGGTTTGGAAAGCTCAGGCTTCCTCCAGCAGTTCTGAGTGGGAAGAGATCTCAGGTGCTGGTAAAGGACTGCAGAGACTTGAGGGGGAGGAAGAGTAATAATTATACTGAGAGGTTTGTGGGTCAATGTTTTCAAGGTTCTATTGATTTAGCCAGAAATTAGCAAGCCAGGCAGATCCATCATCCCCTCCATAAGCATTATTTATAGCAGGATTCCTTGTTTCCCCCTCAGTCTGTGCAGACAGTTCCTGACAACGCCACCTCCTGCTGAGCAACACTGCAGCTGCAGCCTCGTCCTTTACTGTCCCCTTGCTGGGAAGGGACTCCTGAAGGGAAGGACTCGAGCTAAGAGTTGATTTTTAATGTTTTGTTTTACAGCCTCCCAGACACTTTATGAAATTCCAGCCCCTGAAGGACCATCTGCTCTCTCCATGGTGGAACCCCTTCCCCTGAGACCAAGCACAGGACAGGAACCCAGTTCCAGCTCCTTTCTCCACATCCACTGACCAGAGGCTCCAGAAACTGGATCACTCCCACCCCAACCCCCTGCAGAAGATCCCAGACTCCATCCCCCCTGGATGGGTCTCACTATTCCCAAGCATTAAAGGAAGCAGTTTGCACTCAAACAGGAACCCAGACTGGGCTTCACCTGTTTTCCAGGTGAGCTTTCCCAGAACATGCCGTGTCACTGCTGGATCTGGGTCAACACTGGAATCAGGATCCCTGATCCCCCCCTCAGCTCGGGTGCACGTGGCAGGTGAGGTGTCCTCAAGTGCCACAGGGCACTTCAGGAGAGCCACATCTGGGAGGAAAGAGTGGCTTTGGTTTGTTTTCATTCCCAGCCAGATGCATTGTTTACCCTGGCTCCCCCGAGGCAGCCTTTAGCACATATCTTACACAACCAGGCTAATTTGCTATTTCTGACCTACATAAATGCTGTGCTGGGGTGGGAGGGGAGAGGGGGAACCAGCACTCACAAAGCATTTCAGACAGCGCTTCTGAGCGGGGAGACATCAATAAATTAGAGGCCCTTATTTGATTACTCAGTGTGAAAGATTCTCAAATTAATCAGGCTGGTGACCATTTTTGCAATCTGCTGCCAAGTGAGGAATAAATGAAGCCTTTTAATTCGCCCATTGTAGGCCAGACAAAGCCAGGCAAGGGGGGGCCTGGGTGCTGCGAGGTACAGGGGGAGATGAGCACGTTCTGCAGCCAATGAGGAGGGGAAGGACCCCCAGCACTCCTGTGCCAGAGCAGGAGTGTGGATAATTTCACTGTCACTGTGCGTTAGAGCAGCCTGGGCAGAGCAGCACGTGGGCTGGAGCGGAGCATCGATTGGTTACAGATGACATCATGATGTGTCAAGGCACGAGCTCAGGCTCCTTTTATCCCGGAATAAAAGGGATGTGCCATCGGACGTGCTGGAGCTCCCTCTGCCGAGCCGGGGCCGGGCACTGCGGCTGCTCCGGGCACCTCATCGCACACTCAGCCGGGACGATTCCAGCCCAGCCACCCCCCAGAACCCTCCCTCCTTATTCCAGCAAAGCCTGGGCAAGGTGAAAGGAAGGGCTGAGGGTGCAGGAGAGGGTACCTTCCTGCTGGAGAAGTGGGCGTGCTTCCCCAGCTTGTTGTTGAGAGCCTCCAGGAACATCTCGTCCGTGACCCTGCCCACGTTCATGCAGGCGTCGTCCAGGATGGCAATGATCCCCTTGTGCTGCTGCTCCACCAGGTCCACGATGACCTGGTTGTTGAAGTAATCGATCTGGAGGAAACAAAGAACAGGGGGGTTTGGGACTTGGGCTGGAGAAAAGGGAGGGTCCCAGTGCTGACAGTGAGGATGAGGCCCACCGTACACAGGAGAAGCAATCAGCTCTGAGTCTGCAGATCTCTAATTCCAAATCAAACAGGCTACTCTTTACCACTTTACAGCAGAGAAAATCATTTTTCAACCCCCTCAGATACAAACCTCTGCTACAGAATGCACTTTAAAATGCTTTTTAGAATTCAGCTGTGTGCAGTCACCACAGTGACACTGCACATCCTGTCCTTGGCATCCTGAAGGGAATTTAAACAGGAAAAGCCAAGATTTTTACATGTTAATATCAACAACTAGACCAAATACAGAAGCACTCAGAACAGAAACACACAGTGATGAGTGTGGCATCACAGAGATGCCACAGCAGGTTTTCTCTCAGACCTGGAGTGCCTTATTCTCCCATATTTGAGGTGACTGGTTGGCTCCTGCCCCAGCCTGGTGTGACAGCACGTCTGCCAGGACAGCTGGCAGGGACACAGATGTCCCATCGACTGCAGCAGGGACGTGCACGTGGAGCAGCCTCAGAGCTGGGACTTGTGCTGGTCCACTGACCTCAGCCCGACCCCTCCCTGCCCTGCCAGGGCGCTCACATGCTTCCAGGGAATTCCCTCTCGCTGGTATTCCTCCTGCTCCTGCTTCAGGACCAGCTGAATGAAGAGCTGCTGCAGCTTTTCGTTGCAGTAATTGATGCAAAACTGCTCGAAGCTGCAAAAACAGAACCAAGAAAAAAAAGGTGCTGAGTGCCCTGGGAAGGGAGAAGGCTGAGCACTGGGCTCTGACACGGGGCTCACCTGTTGTTGTCGAATATCTCGAAGCCATAGATGTCCAGGACGCCGATGACCGTGTTCTTCCCGTGCACGGTGCTGGCGTAGTCCTTCACCTCGATCACGTCGTTGATGTGTGTCACCATCCAGCAGAAGAGGCGCTCGTAGATGGCCTGCAGGACACACACCCTGAGGGCTCTGCTGCCCCTGCCCAGCCAATTCATCCCTGCCCTGCCTCCACAAAGCTATGGGTAACAACCTGCTAACAGTGAGCAGCCACTCACTGAGGAAAATATTCCAGGAAAATAGTTCTTGTCTTTCTTCCTAAACTCATTCACACAGAGTCGAAATCCCAGTGAGGTCACTGGGTACAGCAGCTCCCTAATTTGATCCCAGCTGGCTTTTCAGCTGCCTAATAACTTCCATTCCTGAGAATTATTTAACAATAGTGAAGAAGAGCCAAGTGAAAGGTCAGTTATAGAAACCTAACAACTGAATACAACGGCAGGAAGATATTCCAGTTCCCCTTTCAAACAGAAAATGTTCTGTAGGCAGAGTCCTCAAAGTCTACATGTTCAAAATGTGCTGTGGAGCTGGGCAAACATATATCAGGAAAAGGAGTCAAGTTAGTAATCAAGGATCTTCATAATTTCATCTCTTCTTCCCCTATCATTTGATTTCTTAGCAAAGGAGGGACAACTGTCACTCCTGCCATCAGTACCCACCTTTGTGGTGGAAGGTGTCCCTGCCCATGGCAGGGGGTTGGAACTACATGGTCTTTAAGGTCCCTTTCAACCCAAACCATTCTGGGGTTATTAAAAAAAAAAAAAAAAAATAACACTTTGGGTTTCCAACTTGTGTTCTAGATATTGCAGTTCCACACTCTGCTCTTTGTGTTTAACTGCTAAATTAATTTTATTTCACAAAACATCCCACCCTGGATGACATATTCCCTTTGCCTGGCCTGCAGCCCCTGCCCTCCTGCTGGCTGTGGGTGCTGAATCCCTGCTGGGAAGGGCAGGGATGGGGCTGTGCCACAATCCCCCCCAGAATACAGGAGCGTGTGTACACCCAGAAACAAAACCCACACGATGCACAGCAAGCACTGTGCTCGCTGATCCACCCAGGAATGCTCCTGAGCACTGAAAGCTGTGCAGTTCTGACAGCAATTCCACACTGAATCCTTTCCTGAGGCATCACTGTTCCTTGCTGTACCGAGTGCAGCTCGACCAGCACTGTAAAATATGAGTCCTTATGGCTTTTTGGCCCAGAAAGAGTTCAGCTTCTCCCTCAGGAAGCACAGGATGCCTGTCACTGCTAAGAGATCAAATATCCACACCTGCATTTATCAATGAATCATTTCAGTGCTTTTTATAAGGTAACGACCATTATAATGTTTCAATGTGGGATGAACACTGTATATTTAAATAGGTATATTTTAAGCAGTGCACAAGCACATTTTCTCCTGTGATTCCAAGAAATGCTTTGTCTCCAGGGCCAGAAGCTCCACCGGGGGCACAGGTGGGGGGAAGGTGTGTGAGCCACTGTCACCCCCAGGGACAGGGAGCTGGGACTCACCTTGGCAAAGGCATCCCTGCCATAGGTGGCCTCCTGCTCCGTGTGCTGCTTGTCGATGACGTCCCTGCCCGTGGCCACGGTGCGGAACAGCAGGGCCTTCTCCACCATGTCGGCCCTGGTGGAGAGCAGCTCGGCGATGGTGGACACCACCTGCCCGTTCTCGATCGCGGGAGTGTCTCCGTCCACGGAGAACTTCAAGTTCCCCTGCAGCAAGCAGGGAGAAGGTGGGTTCCTCCACGGCCTTTTGTGTCCAGGAATTGCCCGATTTCCTCTGTTTGCCCCCATTTCCACCCGTATTCCACCCGCTGTTCCAGGCAGCCAATCTCCTGCCACACTGGAAGGGTGGGCCTGGCACATCCACGTGCTCACAAAGCTCCACCATCAGTGGAAGCAGCAAAGCCTGGCTCAAAGCAAAGCATCCCTGCTCAGTGTTCAGTCCAGCTCTTGGGAAAAATCACATCAAACACCTCCTGAGATTTAATCAAACACCATCTCAAGGCTGAGAGTCCAGGGATGGGAAATGACACTGTGGATATAAACACTGGATGCACCTTCACTGCAGCCCACCACAGAACCACTGGCTGCAGTTCTCCTGCCCAGAGGGAATGGGAATGCTGTGGGAAGCTGGCAGGTCACTGCACCTCCACAGCTCTGCTCCTGGGTACCTGCCCTGCCAGGGCTGAGCACTGTGTGATCCCCAGCACTGGGTGCTCTCCCACCCTGCCTGTTCCCCACTCTGCTCTGCCTCTGTTCCCCCCAGCACTGGGGCACAGCTGTCCCAGGGAGGAGAAGGAGCTGGAGTAGAGCTGCAGTGTTCCTTGTCACCCTCCTCTCTCCTCAGGGAAACACAAGAGCTGAGCTGCAGGGACACCACACAGGGGAGGAGGCTCTGGGGGTCCCAGGAGAACCCAGGGCATTCCAGGGTTTCCTGAGCCTCAGAACATGGAAGACTAAGAGGTCTCCTGTGTGCCCTGTGCTCAAGCCTCACCATGCAGTGAAGCACTGCCCCTGCAGCAGAACCACCGTGGGGATGGTGTGTGAGGGCAAAAGGGGACAGAAGCTCCCCAGCCCCTCACTGCCAAACCCCAACAGTTCCTTTTCCAGAACATTTAACAGCTCCCAGTACTTAGTGGTGTGTCTGGTTTGGGATCTGGAATGTGCAGGAATACATGTGATCTTCCATCCTCCCCGGGTCCTGTTCCAGCCAGGAGTTTCCCTCACCACTGGGAGTTGTGAGCTGTGCACACTTTCCCAGCCAACAGACCTTCCAGCTGCTTCTGCAGCAGGAAAATCTGAGCTGCTGGCAGTCCAGGAACAGCCCAGGGACACCCAGGAGCAGGGACCTTACCAGGTGGAGAATGGCTGCCACGATTTTGTAGACAGTCTGGATCTCCTCTTGCTTGAAGCCAATCACTTTCATGGCATCAGCCACCGCTTTGAACTCGGCACCATCGTTGATGGAACACTGAGGGCACAGAGGAGTTTGGGACAGCATGGATTTAATGGGATTCAGCAAAGTTTTCCCAAGCCCATGGGAAACAGATATGTACTTTGGTATTTTTCAGATGCAAGACACTGCCATGAGGTTTCCCAGTTTGTTCCAATGCCATCTCACATGCTTGGACACTGAACCCTGCACTGCACACACGTGTTCTGGCAGGTACAGAAATCCACCCCAGCACAACAGATTTCCCAGTGGAATTCAGTGAGAAAGAGCAGAAGTGGTTCATAAGAACACCCAGAGCAGCAGGGACAAGCTGTGCCCTCGCAGACCCTCCAAGCAGGAGCTGCAGAGCACCAGCAGGAAACCTCTGCTCTCCACCCTCCTCTAGATGAGCCTCTGTCTCCCTCCTTCCCAATGCCTGGGTTTGCTTTCCCTGCAGATTTCCAGAGGAGCTGATCAGGCATCTCTTGGGCTGTGGGTTCCTGTGCCAAGGAGAATCTCACGAAAGCCACGGGGACATCAGAGAGCCTTTTGTTTGGACTCTGCTTCCGAGGGACAACACTGGGGACAACTCCAGCTGCATCTGACCATGTGGTGAACAGCAGCTCTGCAGTCCTGCTAGGGAGTCTGACCTTGCTCTCTTTTCCTTCCTCATTTCCAGCAGGAGATCCCTGTTCAGTCAAGTTCAATCAACCATCTGATTGTTTGACTTCTGACACACTGGAATTGTCTCCTCCTCTGCTCTGGAAAGACACCTCTCAAAAAGAGTCTGGTATTTATGGACTTCAATACTACTGAAAACAGATTCCCAGGGAACTTTAATAAATAGTTCCTTGTGCATCTTGTGGCCTGCTCTCCCAAAATCCAGGGCAGTACCTCTGCTGACAGCTTTTTCATATCACCAAAGATTTAAAATGCAATCTTTTCATGATCACTGTGGCCAAGACAGGCACCAATCATCACATTACCTCCATTCTATTTACCCAGGAGGTGCCTTTCCTAGTTGGCTTATTTTTTTTACCTGTATCAAGAAACTATCTTCAACTTGTTTCAGCAATTTTCTGAACCTCTTAATGTCTACTGTGTGACAGTCCCACCTAACAAGTTGAAGTCAAGGGCACCTGATCTTGTTGTCCTAAAAACTTCATGGGTTTGTTCCCTTCTTTCCTTGAGGCCATGAAGACTGAATGCTTCAGTAACTGAAATGTCCTACTGTAAAGAAATGAGTCCTTATGGCTTTTTGGTCCAGAAAACAGTTTAAGTTCTCCATAATGGAATGTCTGTCACTGGTAACAGGTCAAATATCTACACCTGCCTTAATTAACACATAATTTTACTGCTTTTTATAATGTAGTGATTATTATAATGTTTAAATGTAGGATGCACAACTGTACTTGCATATACACAAGTCTATTTTTTCTGTGATTCTAAGCACACAACGTGCTTTGTCTCCAAGGGCCAGAAACTCCATTAAAAATAAAACACCAGTGTCACCTTTCCATATTCATCCCATAAATATTGGTCTCAGTTTCTGCTGGCTCAGCAGTGCTTTGAGCATTTCGAGCAGCACTTACAGTTTTAAGCCAAGCTCACCTTGATCTGTGCCCCAGGACAGACGTAGCTGTAGGCTGAGGGGTCCTTCTGAAGGTGCAGGGAACGTAAGAGCTGGTCAGAACCTCCCTGCAGGAGCTGCACAAAGAGGGGTTTAAGAAATGGTGAATGAAAAAACACCAAATCCTTCCTTCTTCTGTTTCTTATTCATCTGCTTGACAAGCAAAGTCACAAAAATATTAATTCCTGCCCCAGTATCTGCAGTCAGGAGCATAACACGTGTGGGATGCACGGTGTGGGGTGGTGGTTGCCCAAATCACTGCCTTTTGAGTCACAACTGTTTTTAAAAAAAACAGCCTGAGCCTCCTCACAGACCAGCCCTGTTTACATCTGTGACATGCCACAGCTGTGTCTTGGCAACCACATTTCCCTTTGCTGCTCTGCACAGAGACTTTTCCATATGGAAATGACCTGTCCATGAGGAAAGTGCTAACATGCCATCATGGAGCACCCAGTAAGTGGGGAAAAAATAACAAACCTGTGCTTCCCTCCCTGCTAGGCTGAGAATCAAGGTTATACTAACAGGCCAACCATATCCCCCACAGGACACCCAGGGAACCACTGTACAATGTGGAAGACATTAAAAAGGACCTCCAAAAAAACCAAGGAAGTCAACTTGGTGTCATAAAATTACTTCCATATGCACTCAAGGCCTTAAGAGAAAACAGAGGGATTAGACTTGCTACAAATAAAACAGTGAGTCAAAGTCCAATGTCCTACCATATTTGTTTAGTCAGCCTCCTCTGGAGTTTATAAATGTGTTAATAAGGGACTGGAGGATGGAAAGCAATCAGTCTTCCCATGCTCCTTCCCAGCACAAAGAGCTGAAGGACCCAAGATCACCCAAGATGCTGCAACAAGAGAACCCTCCAGAAAACACAGGAGAGGGTGAGAGCTCTGGGCACTCTGGAAACTGGACACAAGTGATTTGGTCCAGCAAAGGGGATACAAACCTGGTAGAAGGAATGGAAGCTCCTTTCTCCGGGCTGCTGCACAATCACACGGGACTGGGGGAGACAAAACACAAACGTGGGTGTTGTGGCTGTGCTTCCCCAGCACCTCCCTCAGACACGGAGCTCCCCAGGGCCAGGGTAGCCCCAACCCAGCTCCGTGCTGGGAACACCACTGCACAGCAGGGAATGTGGACTCTGAAGTCTATAATCAGAAAGACCAGCTTGTGTAACAGCTGCAATGTCCTACTTCCACCCAGGAATCCCGAGGGGCAACCGCAGGACTCCTCACGTGGAAGAGTCAAATAAACGTCATTTCAGTTTTAGGATGATTTAGAATCAGAGAATCACAGAATCAGAGAATCAGCTGGGTTGGAAGGGACCTCCGAGATCATCAAGTCCAACCCTTGATCCAACCCCGCTGTGGTTCCCAGCCCATGGCACTGATGCCACATCCAGTCTGTCCTTAAACACCTCCAGGGATGGAGAATCCACTACTTCCCTGGGCAGCCCATTCCAATGGCTGAGCACCCTCTCTGCAAAGAA